TGTTCTTCTGGGGCTCCTATGATATGTATGTTATTATGCTTTATGGAGCCACTGAGTTCCCTAAGTCTGTATTTGTGATCCAATATTTTTCTTTACCTCTTCTTTTCAGGTTCATTATTTTCCATAATTTTATCTTCTATATCACTTATTCATTCTTCTGCTTCTTCCATCTTTGTGTTCATTTGTGTTCATTACATATAGTCTGTTGCATCTTGGTTATAGCATTTTTTTATTTCAGCCTGACTAGTTTTTAGGTCTTTTATCTTTGTGGTAAGGGTCTCTCTGGTTTCTTCTATGTTTTCCTCAAGTCCAGCTAGTATCCTTATGGTTGTTGTTTTAAATTCTGGTTCAGGTATATTACTTATATCTATTTTGATTGGCTCCCTGCCCATGACCTCTTCTTGTTCTTTCTTTTGGGATGAATTCCTCCATCTTGGCATTTTGTCTATGTCTGTCTTTTGTGTGTTAAGAAAGCTATTCCTGCTCCTAATTTCACTAGAGCTGAAGCTTTGCAGTGGCCTATGATCAGTAGACCTGGTGCATGCACGGGATTTGTGCTGGTCTTCTGGGGGAGGGCCCTGCTGCTGCTCTGGCTCTCAATCACACTTGCCCTATTAAAAAGGGGCTTGCAGAGCACAGGGGGCAGGGTGTGGTGTAAGCTACTCAAGCCTCCACTGTGTGTACTGTGCCTCTTGCTAAAGTCCTTCTGTGCTGATAGGAGGGGTGAAAATGGTGTCAGCCTGCTCTTGTTCATGGACAGAGGAGTTCACCCATCATTGTTCAGGAAGCCCTCACAGAAGAACAAACAATCTCCCCTCTGGTGTCCCTGGCTTCCGTGAGATTCCTGCCTTCACGCTGTCTGTGACCAAGCCATCTGCCTACCAGTGGCCTAGTGCTCTTGTGTTTTATCTCAGGCTTGCAGCTGGGTTTTAAAACTCCAAATTTTTGGGACCTGGCACTGATCCTCTGGGGGAGGGTCTCACCGAGCTGTGGCTAGTACCGGTTTGTCCCAGAAAAGCAGTTACATGATAGTTCAGGAGTTTGGAGTTTATGGTAAATGATAGTTCAGGAGTTTGGAGTTTATGGTAAAGTGTGGCAAAAAGCCCACATCCAGATTAGCTGCCCTCAGCAGACATCTCTGCTCATATGCTAATGAACAGGGCAGCTCAGTAGCACCTGCGGCTGTTTTGTCTCCTGATAGACAGTGCCGCCTCTCCCAAATGCACTCCAAGATGGGGAACTCTCTTCCATCATGACCCAGGGGATCCTCAGAGCATGCCATCAGCTCCAGGGCCTCTGCCCTCCTTCTCTACAAGAGCACTGCTATGCCCCCCAGGTTTATCCTGGCAATGGTGTGGACTTCTAAGACTTCAGAAGCTGCACTGTTTATAAAAACTTGGGATAATCAGCCCCTCTTATTTTTGCACTCAGTGTTTTTGGGGAAGTGTGTTTGTGTAATCCCCTGTGTGCTTTCTCTCTGCCTCTCTCTCTCTCTTTTTTTTCTCTCTCTCTCATCTCTCCATGATCAGGGCTCCCTCCTCTCTTCAGCACCCACAATTCTTTTCTTCCCCAAATCACATCACCACACCTCCTACCTTCCATGATGTGGCCTCTTTTCTCCTTTAGTTGTGCAGTCTGTTCTCTCAGTCCTCAGATCAATTTCCTGGGTGTTCAGAATGATTTGATAATTATCTAGCTGTGTTCAAGGGATGAGGGAAACATAACGTCTTCCTACTACTCCATGATTTTAACTCCTCTTGCCATTTTTGACTCTTAAGAGCATCTGCCAAACATTTTTTCTCTCTATGGATGCTATTGAATAGGTAAAGCATGCACTTGCACCAAAATTCAAAAACTATAAAAGACATTCAGTGAGAAGTATGTTCCTCTGCAGTCACTCAGATCTCCTCCCCATCCCCAAAGCTAACAATTCTTACCAGTTGTTTTGTCCTTGGAGAGAGGTTCTGTGTAAAAACATATATGTATTTAGGGGCACCTACGTGACTCAGTCAGTTAAGCGTCTGACTCTTGATTTTGGCTCAGGTCCATCTCAGGGCCATGGGATTGAGCCACACATCAGCTCCACACTTAAGATTTTCTCTCTCTCCCTCTCCCCTTGCCCTTCCCTCTGCTTGTGTGCACATGCTCTCTTTTGCTTTCTCGAAATAAACAAATCTTTTTTAAATCACCCCAAAAACAAAACAAAAAAGACTCAAATATGTATTTATTTATATTCAGATGCTTTTCCATTTTTGTTCAAATGCTACTGCTATATACAATGCTTTGTGCCTCTCCTTTTTTACTTAATGTACTTTGGAGATAATTCTTTATCTAAACATATATAGCTGCTTTGTTCTAATATCTGCATAGTATACCACTATAAAATCTACTCCAAACATTTGAACTTCATTCTATGAGTGGACACTTAAAATTTTTTATTTACTCTTATGACCACTCAGCAATAAGTGTTCTTATAAGTATGACTTTATGCTCATGTTTGACTATAACTCTAAGATAAATTAGGAAATGAGTGATTAGAAGGTAAGTTTCTTCTTGGATCTCCTGTTTCCTCAAATGCCACCTTTCAGAGAAATTGTCCCTAACTGCTCAATCTACCCTAGCCCCTGCTGTTACCTTCACATTGTCTTTTTTATATACTTTTTTATCATAGAATTTTTGAACATATAAAAAGTAGAAAGAGCAATAATATAATGAAAGTTCATGTACCTTGTTTTTATCAATTATCAGTATTTTCCAATCTTGTTTTAGCTCTCTCTCACTCCCATACACACTTTTTTCTTAAGTACCTTAAAGCAAATTCCAGATATGCCATTTTACCTATGAACAGTTCAGTATGTATCTCTAACATATAAGACCTGTTTATAAAAAAAAAAAAGGATTACCACTTTGTCATTGTTACAGCTAACTTAACACCATTTTCCTGATCTCCTCTAGTACCTATCCCATATTTTCCTGTGTAATTCAAAAATGCACTTTACAGTTTTTGCTTGAATCACAGTCAGAACAAAATCTTCACATTTGCTTTTAATTTATAAATTACCTTATCTGTTTTTCATATTTTTTCCCCAGAAGAAATAATATATAATGATGTGTGGGATTTTCCAAATTATTGATTTGGTTGACTCTTTCCTCCTGTGGTCATCTTTTTTAACATATTTCTCTGATTTTTGTATTTCCTGTAAACTGATAGTGTAATGTGTAGTAATTGTTGGTTAGTTTCAGGTTCAGTTTTCTTGGCAAGAATATTTCATAGATTGTGCAATGAACATCCTCTTGTATCACAATGGGAGCCACATGATTTCCACTTATCTTTCTTTTAGCAATGTTGAGAGACAGGTGGAAATCATGCATGTTTAGAGAGAGAGATCAGTGTGTTTTGGTATTCTCAGCTTTATTTGACAATTATAAAGTCAGCCATTGACATTTCACCTAGTGAACATTTTCTGGATTGGTAGCAAAATGATTCTGTCATTCCTTATGTAATTAATTGTTGATAAAAAGTGGAAGCAATTTGCATTTTTTATGGATTTGCTAATGTTCCCTATATAATTTTTAAATTAGTTGTGAGAACTTACTAGTCCTAGATTTAGATAATTTGTTTTAGAAAAACTGGGTTAGAAATTGCCCATGGTCTTTAAATAATATGCCAAAGAGAAAAACTTTTGAAGTCTACTACTAATCAAAATTATTACAAATGTATCTGAAGTAACTGTGATATTTCTCATAAAATTTGTATTTCCATGTGTAGGTATTACTTTGAGACACCAAGAAAGTTTCTAAACTTTTAGAATATATTTTATAAAATCTGTTTTTATTGTTTCTGTTTATATAGGTTATTAAGTGTGGTATGCTGTGATCTAGACACTCTTCTCCTACTAGAGGCTCAGTATCAAGTATCTGAAATGTTACTAAATGCTCAAGAAGAAAATATCTTAGAGACCTCTGAAAGCCACAGGTAAAAACAAAAACAAAACTGTTAAGACAGTATTATTAACAATAGTTTTCTTTACAGATGCTCTGTTAAGACAGTAATTTTGTGTATATAATTTCATGTTTTCCCCTATCTGAATTCAACAGATTTGAATAACAGAGTAAAAAGCAATTAAAATATAAATGTCACCATTAGAAAGATTGTGATAGATGTTTGTGGGGAAAGCTTGAACAGTACTCCTTTCTGAGTTTTTGTTTAAGACCTGATTTTATTGATGGTTCCATGAAGTTGTATCACCTTTAAATTCAGGCTGCATGTGTAAGATGAGTCATTAAACAAAATGTTTGATTTCGTGTTCCTTGTAGTAACTCTTTACTTCATTCTCTTAATTATGTTAATTCATATCCATAAGCTCCGTTTATTGCAAAACGAGGTTATGGTAATATCTTGATGATTTTTTTCTACTACACTTGTCATTACTTCAATTTGGCTGACATTTATTGAATACACATTCAATATCTGGTATTGTTTTCATGTCAGTAATTAAAAAAAAATTGTGCTTCCATTCTAGCTGGGATTTAGAAGAATATAGAAGACCAGGCACATTACTGGATTCTCTAGATTTGATATAGAAGGACGGTATTAACAGCTGTAGGAAGTGTGGAACCTGCTCAAAAGCAACATTTAGATTTTGAATTTAAGGCGCTGAGTCTAGAACCTAAGGGAACCTTTACTAAAAATGTGAAAAAGTCATTGTGGAAATAATGTAGGTCTTAATTCCATTTCTTTAAATGCAGTAACATTTGACAAGAAAATATTATTTCATAATATTTACCTGATTATATCAATTATATCTCCATCAGTTCTTTGCTTTCTGACAAAAAAAGCTATAAGATAAAGTGAATTTAGCCCTTTTTAAGTGATACATTGTTAATCTTTTTCCAGACTTTTCTATAGAAAATTTTCTTTTTTCTTTACATTCCACTGTTGGTTTTGGAATTAAACCATATTCAATTAAGATAACAAAATTGATATGTTTATATTTCAGGGATTTCATAATTGATGGCTTATCGGTAGAGAGAAATCATGTTCTTGTTAGAATAAATTTTATCGGTGGTCCCATGGAACGTATTTTGCCCCCAAGGGTACTGGAGAAGGTGAGTAGGGTAAAGAGGAATATTTGTCAATAGAAAAGCTGTAGGATACAAATAAACACTTTAAAATGAAAATAGCAATCAAAAGCTAATGATGTAATATATGGTGATTAACATAACAATAAAAAATTAAAAAAAAAATGAAAATAGCATTCTTTGTGACAGAGGGATCATAAGTGTTAGTTTGTGTTGCCAAGTAGGCTATAGTTTCATTAAAAAGTTGTCATTTTTCTGTCTATGATGTTTACTTTCAATGTCTTTGTTTTTCATGCTACCTAATTTTTATTAGATGAAGATATTTTTTGTATTTAATTAGCAATATTGAGTACTTCTTTCATCAATATTCATAGACATTGGCTTTCCCTTGAAGCACCTTTTTTTTTTTTTAAGTACATTTTTGCTCTGTCAGTCTGGGAAAGATGAGATAGAAATGATTGACAATACAAGATAAACAGTTTGGTTTTTTGAATTTGTTTCCTATTTCAATATAGGAAATACAGGTTTCTTTCGAAGACTATAATTTCTCTTTCATGGAAAAAAAAATAGTAAGGCTACCATTATCAGTCCTAGTTGCTAGGACAAGTTACCATATATTTGTCTTCAGGGCTTGTGTAATGTCATTTCTATTACATTTCATTTCAGTTATTATCCTTTGGAGTATTGAATTGTAATTGTCAAATAGGTTTTGGTTAGTTAGGCTACAACTCTAGTATCTATGAAACAAAAGCCAGTTTAAATTAGTATTTCAGAAAGCCTTAAAATTCAATATATTACCTTCTGAAGTCATTTGTCTTCTTTTTAGGGTGATGATCCATATCCTTGGCCAATGTTTTCATCATATCCTTTACCAAACTGCTATCTGTCAGAAGTTACAAGAAATGCTGATCTAAAAAAAGGTAAGATACTTACCATCAACTGCCATGTTATTTTAGTGCTTTTGTGGTTATAATTTGAAAAAAGGTAAAGTAGTATTATGGGAGATTAATACTATTTTTCATTCAGCTTGTGTATATAGATACATTTATGCCTATTTCTTTGTAAGTTTCTTACTGAATTATTTGTATGATGTTGAATAATTCTTATCAGAACTTTTTGGTTTAAAAAAAGGAGTTATGATTTTTGATGAATTCTAGATACATAGGACTTTATTCAGCAGAGTAATATTTTTTAGTATCTGCATGCCATACATAAGTTCTGGGTCCTCAAGATTTGAAATATAAATATAATATAAATTATATAAATATAATAAAATTCAGACGAGTTCATGAACTTTTGGAGAATACATACAAGTAATTAGATAATTGTATGGTAGTGCAGTGTGATAGGAACTAAATAGTCAAATGTGTAGCCTGCTAGCATAGCATATATGCAGGACACCCTTCCAAAGAAAATCAATATTTAAAGCAAGGCACAAAATATGTATTTTTGGGTAATATAAGAGCATTTTTGACAAAGGAAAACAGAGAGGCTTGAAAGGAGCAACTTATATTCAGAGAACTGTGAATAGTTCAGGATGTCTGAGATTTGGTATGTGAGGGCAAGAGAGACCAGAAGTAAGACAACTGGTATGCCAAGGTCAGCCATAAGACCAGTGTAGTTCAAGACTTCATTGTGAGAGCAATGAAAATTCAAACCATTCTTAGAGAATTCTAAGATGAAATATGAAGATACATGATCAAACTACTCATTAATTTGAGAAGTTAAATCTTTTATCAGTGCGATCTTCTTTAGTACTATTGAAGTTGTGCTGGAAAAAAATAGCAGGTATAAGATTCATTTAACATAGGTTAAGATTTTATGGAGTGATTGTTAAAAAAATGTTTCTGTGTGAGACTTCATGTGTCTTTCACTTTTTCCTACATTTACTTGCTTTGAAACAATTATAAGAAGCCATCAATTGATATGTATTGTTTTTATTTCTATCCAGCGTTTGAGATATACATTATATTTCTCACAGTTGCATAGAGACAAAAATTGTGCTTTGTTTTTTATTTCAATCTACTTAGGGGTTAGGGAAAGAGAAAGGGAGCTTTTTAAGGTTTTTTTTTTTAAGATTTTTAAGATTTTATTTATTTAAGTGAGAGAGAGCGCAAGAGAGAGAGCGTGAGCAGGGGAAGGGGCAGAAGGAGGGGGAGAAGCAGATCCCCTGCTGAGCAGGGATTCCCAATGTGGGGCTCGATCCCAGGACCCCAGGATCATGACCTGAGCCAAATGTAGACACTTAACCGACTGAGCCACCCAGGTGCCCCTAAAGTTAATATTTGTCTTTATAATGCACTAAAAATTTTGCCTTTGTTTTCCTCTTCTGCAGCCTAATCTATTGCTTTCAGAGATGTGTGAGTGATAGGAAGTATTTTTCAAGAAAAAACTCTTGAGAGAATACCATTTTGAACACTTTACCCCACTGACTCAAATCTTTCAGTCAACCCATGCCTTTCTCAATCTGTTATTCTCATGCTTTCCTGTTCCTACTTTCATTCTTCTTAATGCCTTTATATTTTGTCATTGTTGTTGTAGGTTTCATCATTTATTTGCCCCCTCATTCCTTTATTTAACATTTTTCTCAAGTGCTAATTATCAGGTGCTTCACTAGGCATTGGAGATAAAATGATGTATTAAGACATGATCCATTCTTGGTACCCCAACCCTTTTCCTGATCCTTTCCTTGTTATAATAAAGCATTGTTATCTTTGCTGAGTTTCACTTGGAAACTAATATTAATTTTTTGAACAACAAATTCATTCATTATCAGTTTTATTATGTGACTGTCACATTTGATAATTTGGTTCTTCAAAATAGTTCGATTAAAAAAAGTCCCTTATTTTTTTAAACAGAACAAGGCAGACAGAAATAAGAAAAATAAGGTTAAATGGACACTTCCTGAAAAGAAATGATACAACATCAATTCCTAGGAATTGGTTTACAGAATATAATTTTATTCCTGCTCTACTCTTGTGAGTGATTTAGAAAAGGGAGTAATAATAGCATCTCTGTCTAGCCCAGAAGATAACTGTAGAATGGTTATTAACCGTAAGTGGGCCCATCATACTGCCAGGCAGTCGTACATGGTGTCCCCAGGTCCGTATTCTCCCGCTCTCCTAGATGACCATTTTAAAATCTTCTTTCATCAAACCTTCACTCCTGTCCATCCTATCCAATGATATAATTTTGTTTTCTAGGTTACTGAGGAAATAGAAACAGAAAAAAATCTTCCATGTGCTCCTGATAAACACCAACTCATTTAGCTGAATCTATTCCAATTTCGGGTTTTTGTTACTATAAATAAACTGCCAATGTTACTGAGAAAGGCTGGCTGCTACATTCCATCTTCTCAAAGATAATGCTTCTAACAGTTCTCCCTTTTTCCTTTATTGCTGTTTTTGGGGGGTGTTGTGGATGGGTCTCCATTGTGGCTCTTTGTGAACCGACAAACATACTATTAATTCTTCCATATTTAAAATATCTTCTTTTGAACCCACTTTTAAATTTCTGTCCTTTTTTCTTGCAAAATTCTTTGAAGGAGTTGTCTAATCTTGATATTCCAGTAACTCCTTCCATTCTCTCCTGAACCCACAAAGCTAAAGAGGCTTTCACTCCCATTATACTGTGATTAGATCTACTGTGTAGATCAGTCCTCATCCTACTAGAATTTAACATTATTATTTAACATGTTCACTCCCTCTCTTTCTTTTGAAACACTTTCTTCACTTGGCTTCTAGAAAATGCATGATGGGATTTTCCTCCTGTGTTTCTGGCAAATTCTTTTGTCTCCTTTGATCTTTCACTTCCCTCTAACCTCTAAGCTTTGGAGTGCCCCAGGGCTCAGTTCTTAGTCGCCTGTTTTTCTAGCTGTACTTACTCTTGGGGAACATCTCCTCTCATGACTAAAATCCTGTCCAGTATGCTGATGGCTGTCAGATTTATATCTCTATCCTCTATCTCTTCCCTCAACTCTGCATTCATATCTAACTGCCTACTTGACAACTTTGCTAGGAGGGTTAATAAGCACATCACGTCTAACAAGTCTGACATAAACTTCTCATACTTCCTCAAAATCTATTCCTTTGGTTTTGTTACTCATTTCAGAAATGGCAACTTTTGCTTCCAGTTCTTTAGGCAATAAACCTGAAGGCATTCTTTGACTTCTCTTTGTCTTCATACCCACATCTAATCTGTCAGCAAATACTCTTGACTCTGCCTATCTGAAATCACTTTCTCTCTTGCACGACAGCCTTCCTCTCTCATCTGTATTATTGCAGTAATCTGCCAAGTAGTCAGTGTGTTCTCAACACAGCAACCAGAGTAATGCTGCTGAAATGTTCATTGCGTCACGTTACTCCTTAATTGAAACCCTCCAATGGCTTCCCATCGCTAACAAGGCCCAATACATTTGTGGCTTCATTACTGTCAATGCTGTTTTACTTTAGTACCATTTCAAACCTCTTTAATTCCACATTTCCCCACCATATTGGACAACAACTTCTATTGTCTTTCTCTTTGTCTCTAAAACACAAGTGTTTGACTAAGACATTATTCTCAATTTAATAGCAGTACCTAATACATCCTTCTAATAATAGTGGTCCTAGTTTTGTTAAGCAGGAGAGAATGATCTAGGCACCAGTGGATAATCCAGAATGTACATCACAGAGATACCTCTCTGAACTCAGTGAGAAAAATGGAGCCAAATGAATTTCTAACACCTATAAAGCTAAATTGAAAGTATGTTTCTGGTTAAATACAGTTCAATAAACTAAACATTGTACAATTTTAAATATACTGTGTTTAAGCTTATAATACTTTAAAACATAGCTATTTTGAAGGCAGGAGTTCTTATACTTTTCATTTTGCCTTTTTTATTTGAAAATAATGATTCATTGATTCTGATAGGTGTTATTTTGCTTGTCATTTGCACTGCAAAATTTTGGGATATAATTTCATTGTTGTGGGGGGAAAAAATCAACTTTGGTTGTGTGCACATGGTGACATCCTCTCATTTGTCTCCCAGCTTCTACATTTATTCTCCTTGCTACAGTTAGCATCTCCTCATCTGTTAAATTGCCTCTTGTTAGCTCATTGGCATTAGTGTTAGCTATTAGATAATTTATCTTCATCTGTAAATAAGAATCTTGAGACATCATCTGGTTCAGTTATTTTTCTTTGTGCACCATTTTAGAGTCACCATACTAAAATGTAAAAGCCCTTTAAAAGCTAGTGATTAATATTATCTGTGTATGTACATATGTACATTATGTGTATACATATATAAGCATGTACAGGTATATATGTACACATGTGCACGTGTGTATGTATCACAGGTGTGTGATATATAAATAATCTTACACACATGAAAAAATTCTCTTCCACGTGGTAGAAATAACTTGGATATTATCTTTCTGTTGCCCTAGAGTTTAGATAAATTGGAAGAAGGTTGTGAGTGCAGTAACTTACTATTACCTGTGCAGCAGAGAAAAAGGAAAGGGGAGTGGGAGAAAGGAGAGTTGTGCTGTGGTTAAAAGCCAGTACAGGTTAGTGTGTTCAGGAGCTGTTAAAGTGAACTACTGGAGATTGACTCATAATGTCTTTTCTATATGAAACAGATCCTGGGATAAACAAATCAAAACAGATTGCTTTGTCTTCCTAAGCTAAACTTAGATCTCCCAGGAGTTATTGTTATACCCCTCATTGGCCAGTCTGCTCTACTCCATTCCATTTTGGTGTGTTCAGGATGGGACTTCTTTCTCTAAAGAGGAACAGAAATCCAGTACTTTCATACTGAGAAATAAAAAAGACTTGAGGGATTAAATAGCGTGCTCTGGTTATTGGAAGCATTAGAGAGATATCTGAAGGTGAGAAATTTGCTGTTCCTTCCTTTCTAGCATCCTATATTCATTTTATT